ATTTCTCCATCAAGAGTACAAGCTCGTGTAAGCTGATTGTCTCGATCATTGCGCGACATCCATCGATAACCAGCGATTCAAACAGAAATACTCTATAAATTAATTTGCAATAGTGAATTTTATTTTCAATACCTTTTGTTTTTTTTTTTTTAATATAAAAAACAACCGCTAGTTTATTAATGACCTCCTCTACCATAGCACGTATTTGTAATATTTTATATATCTTTACTACTTGAATTTGAATTACATACATACGGACGCGCACGCACAGCAACACACACTTTGACACATACACACACACACACACACACACACACACATATATATATATATAGATAGATAGATACTTTTATTTGTTTATTTAAGTTGTTTTGCTTTGAACTCAAATGCATTCGAGTACGTACAAACGTGCGTGTGTGTGATTTTGGATGTATATAATTTTTCGCGAGCGTCTGTGAATGTCATATGCGCATAGATATACGTTGCATCAAGAGACAAATAATTATTTAGGAAAAAATAATTAAATACAATGTCTCCTTTATTAAATCTGATAAGTATGAGCGCATATAGTCGAGTATAAGTATTTCAGTATAAATAGATACTATTCTCTCCTCGAGTCTTTATCTCGATAATCTTTCTAATAACATCTAGCAAGATATATTTTCCTTTATTATTTTAAAAGTAAATTGGTTTAGAAAACTAGAAAATAGTTATGCTAATTATAAAAATTGGATACAGCTCGCAAGCTATCGTAATAATTCATCGTAATATGGCTTCCCATTCCCAATTCCTCGGAATTCAATATTTGACCAACAAATATATATCTCAATTACGATACCTTGGCAGATTATACAACAGTGATAAGCTTCTATTAAAGTCTTTTATCAAACAACAATGGCAATTTAGCAATGAACTGTACTAGAGAACAGAGGAAAACTTAATTGATCGGTCGGTCATGTTATTCCGAATTGTATCTTGAACAGGAAAAAGAAACATTCGCCACAGTCAATGTTCGAAACATCAAAATAACTAGATATAATTATCTCGATAATAAGTCCTATAATTTTTCCTGCTTTCTTATTTTTCATTTATGATGGTAAATATTGATTGGCAACGTCATAATGAGAACGTCATAAGGGCCGAATAAAAATATGAAAGCCTGTGTGTGACTGACAATTGCCATTCAATGCAATTGAAATCATAAAACGTGATTACCAATATCGAAAGAAGGTAATGAATGTTCTAGTATTCCGAAACATCTGTGTTGCTTAATTTTTCAATTATTAATTTTGATAAAAACTATACAAAACTTATTAATTACTATTTTAGATGAAATATCAATATTTGAAATAAGATTTTTTATGAACTTTTAATAAATATTTGTACACTCGAATTACAACTTTTTCATATTTTAGACTAAAATTGTTAAATAATTCAATTAATATATATATATATATATATATATATATATATATATATATATATAGCCCCATTTTAACGATACTTATAATTTCTGACGATAAAAAAAGTTAAATTTAAGTTGAAAAAAAGAAATTTATATCAAATTTACAATTAAAATTTTATTGCAAATTAATAGAAAACACATGAAATATTTCTATTTTTCAACCGACTTATTATCATGTATTTTATAACAAATTTAATAATCTATGATTAATGCAGTATAGTTTCTTTGATCTAACATAAACTTTCAATAATATTTCAGATCTGCCTATTATTAAATTTAATATACATCTGCAAGTAAATTATTGTACTTTTAAGTGTAAATTTATGATATACTAATTCATGGATTCATTGAAAGGATTTTTGTAGATTTATTGGTGCTAATATATTAGGTAAACAATATAAGAAAAGAAATATAATCTAAATAAAATAAGCTTTCTTTTCTTTTTCAAGAATAAATTTATTCACAATTACGATTACATACTTGGGCTAACATTTTCTTAAGCAAAAAAAATTCAACAATACGATAGTATTCTTTTAGGATTATGTAAAATTTTTCAATTAACTTTTGCACTATTCTAAAGGTAAAAATAACATTTTTATCTTGAATATAATTATATATATATATAACCAAGTATACATTTGTATATGTTAATAAATACAAAGTTCTACATGATTAAAACTTTGAGGAAACAAGTAGAATAAATAAATTAGGTGTTCAAAAGTATCGTATGCGAAGAAAGCAATCCTTAGAAGTTCGTCATCGTAGCTTTTATTCTTGGAACAGTAGTATATGTCGTTTTATATATTGACACCGATAGATCACAGCTTGAATTAGAATGTATAGGCACGATAAAGTCCTTAACACACTGAATAATAATTAAGCAATGGCTCCCGATTTAGGAGATTAGCAGTAATTACGTAAAGTGTCGAAACGACTTATTAAACGCGGGAAGCTTTGTTCCCAATTACAACTATTATAATTACAATAAACTTCATACTTTTCAATATATAATTAATTATTTTACTATGTAAATAAATAATTTTGATTTTATGCAATAGTCAAGATAAATTATATTCGATTGGATATAGTTTTCAAGATCACAAGGTTTTGCTAATTAAAAATATGAACAAAAATAGGCGAACATATACATACTGCTCGTGATAAAATTATAATAAATTATATTAAATTTCAAAATTGAACTAATCAAATCCAAGATATCGAAAATTATCGCCGAAAGAGTAATTTATAGAGAAATAACAATACATGTATCATTAATTCATTCTTTTAACATCTGCGTAGTTTTCCACGTATAGCATGCCTGTGCGTATGAAGCATTTATAAGTAAATATAATTACATAAATACAATATATTAATTAAGTCAATTAGAACTAAGCGTTGGAAATCTCCTGACGAGTATATAAAGGCAATTTACTCAATGTAAATACTTGTACCGCTTGAGAGAAAGAAAAAAAGAAAAACTAACTTGACTAAAATATTGAAAAAATATTGAATTCAATTAATTTTAGTCAATTATTCATTAAATAAAAGGATTTTTCACTCGAAAACATAATCTGTAACAGTTCTTTCAATATTATCTAATTGAATAAATGTTACCTTATTATTATAAAAAAATTATCTAACCAATGCTTTAGTATAATAACTATAAGATTAATATAAATAAAAGCATTAAAATAACCTATATTATAACTATAATAATCATAAATGATTTTGATTATAACTTTTTTATACAATTCTATAATCTTCTTATTTAAAATACAATTAATTAGAAATAATCTTATTCTAATTAGAATTTAATTTTAAGCTTCGTTTTAAAAATATGTACTTATTTTTACAATTTTATTCTTGTATTAACGAACAAGACGCATTACACTAGATAATTAAATCATATGTAGAAGTTAACATATATATATCTGGCAATTTTCATTAAGCTTTAGAAGAATTCATTTATATTGAGTAATATTGATTATACCAATGCTTTCATCCTCGAAGATACAGCAGAATTCAATATGGTAATGATGAATATATCTTCAGCATGGATCATCAGTTATCAATGTGTCGCCATCCATAAATAATTGTACTCATTGATATCTTGAATGAGCTATTTAATGGCACAAGCAATAGATTGCCTACAAATCTTTTAAACCGACAGAAACAATTCGTATCTATTTTGTAATTTGTACTTTCTTGAAATCTTGCATTTACTAATCGATATATCAATCACAATATTTGATACGGTAGCGATTGACGAAGAAAAAAAAAATTAATTCTTGAAGCAGAAAAATATGTTATCTTTCATAAAATAATTTATCGACATCTGAAGAAATTTTCACTATTCTGACGCACTAGACAAACAAAGAAAACGAACGTTTGTCAGGAACTAACAATGAATGGGGATAATTTTATGAATATTATGAGTAATTAAATTCAAACTCTTATCGAATAGGCAATAATAGCTATGGTCTAATGCATGAGCATTCCTTACACATCCTCATAAATGATCAGGAAGTTACCTAATTTTAATATCTCAATAAACTGTAATAAAAAGGTCAAGAACAATTGTTCTTGAATTAATGTTTTTAAATATAAACAATATTAAAAAAAAAAAAAAAAAAAAAAAAAAAACTAAAAATCTGAATTCAAACATTTGATAAAAAAAAAACTTACGCAAATCTGAGATCTGAGAAATAATTAATTAATAAGTATTTGGATTTTGAATTAACAAAGAATTAAAAGACATAAGTACTATATTTAAAAAAAAAAAAATAAAAAAATACAAAAAACTATTATTACTACGCTATGGATAAAACATTTATTTCGTAATTTAAAACTAAATTTGAGACCAATTTTTTTAATTATCAATGACAACAATAAAAAATTGAACTTCAAAATGACGATAAGAGTCTTAAAGTTTGTTTAAAATACATGATACAATGAGCAACTATCTAAATATTAAATTTGCCTTGCATATTTAATTTATTAAAGATAGTTATCGAAAACCGCTTTCATATAAAAAATTAAAAATTCATAAACTAATCCAAAGAAAGGAGCATCCTATATTTTTATGAATTTATCAACGGAGTGCTTTCGTTTCGTAGAAGTAATTTTAGATATAGAAGTAAACCAATGAATAGTGCATCTTGAAAGAATAAAAAAAAAAGCAAGAAAAAACTAAAATAAATTGTTTAATTAGCAAGAAAAGGCAAACTCTATGGTGTAAATTTTCTTATTTATCATCCTGTTAAAATTTATAATGATGAGTCATAATGAACTATTTTTTAAAATAAATGTATTGTAAATCTTAATTTTACAGTTAATCATTTTAACTTGACGTCTGGGGATCCTAGTGATTTTCATTCCTTATTATTGTTCTAAGAATTATTATCGTCATATTACAGTTCATATAATCTCTGTCCGATTGTTGCATCAAATACAGTAATTAAGCAATTACTTTTCTTAAAAAATATAAAATATAAAATGACTTTCGTACTTTCGTTACTTTATTATAATCGTGTCAGAATTGTCGCTTAATCCAAAGGTAAGTCAACGTCAGGATTATTTGACGCTAATTTGACAAGTGTTTTTTTCACACGGAGTATTGGAAGGCGAGCTGCAGCTTTAGTGTGCCAACATTCTTTCATCATGGCGCCCATTCCCGCTAATGTCTGAAAGACAGAAATACAATTATTTGCAAATGTACGAAGAGATGCATTGATAAGCAAACAAGCAGCATCCTCGACTAAAATTCGTTGGCATTATTATTCAGGCGGATGCAGTAAGAAAGTTTTTTTGTTTCGAGTGCCAATGGTGGCAAGTGTTAAAAATTGTAATAAGATGTAGGAAAATAATTGTCGAATATTCTGCACGGGGTGAAAACGTTAAATTTCAAACAGACTATTGTCCTTATCTTCGAGCTAACGATTATCTACTATCAATTACAATTAAACGTCGATAGAAACATTAATCGACGCTTCATTTTGCTTATTGTGCAAATTAATTGGCTTACCGGATCCGAGTGCCAGCGGTTCGGTATCGGTGGTCTGCGTTGATCAGCCACGACTAATTTACGCATCTCCTCTAACGTTGGCTCCTGATTGCCACTTACAAGCCACTCGGAATACGGTGCTGCATAGTCCAAGGCAACACCATTACTAATACATCTACGACACACCTCCCAGAAAACCAATCCCAAGCTATATATGTCGGCGCGCCGAAAACCCTCGAGACATTGGGGATCGAAACTGAAAAAACGAGATATTCACTTTTTTAATTTTTGACCATCGTTGTGCTCAAGCATTTGACTATTTTCAAACCATAAGCATTCAAATATGATCTCTTAAATAAAAAGAACATTATTGAAATAATATCGATTATTCGTAAGTTAGAAAAATATCTCGATTATCTAGAATGATGTCGAAGGAAAATGAAGTATTTTTATCGAAGTCAAAATAGTTATAAATCAGATCACCGAATACTGCATTTAACAGCTTCGTTTTCAATATTTATCAGGAAGCGCTTGTAATGACAAAATTTAGCGTCATTACGAGAACAATAAAAGTTCGAGCATCGAGCGAGTCGCGTATATTTAAGTTGTAAAGCAACACGATGCGACGAGAATCAGGCAACTGATAATTATCAAACCCCCCCCTCCCCAATCAACCTGGTGTAATTGTAATATTTACGTCTGCTCGAGCAGCTCAGGGCTCATGTAGCGCTTTGAGCCTTGTTTGAGGTCCATCTTATCGGCACCAAGTCTATCTTGCGTGACCGCGTGCGCCAAGTCAGCGATGACGCAAGCTCCGTTCGTTTTCACAAGTATGTTCTTGGACTTGAGATTGCGATGCGCCATCGCCGGTTTACCCCGAGTGCCGTGGATCTCCGTGTGCAGGTACAATAATCCATTGGCGATACTCAGGCAGATGTTGAACATTTGATGGTGATTCAACGGATGGGGAAGCTAGATATTCAATATGATTAGATAATGAACAACATGGGATTGAAAGTGCATCGAACGCTACTGATAAGTCGCTATTTTCATTCTAAATCGCTTACACAACACACGATAAGCCGTACGCGCGCGCAGGCACACATATGGGCCTCTGTATCGTAAAGCTTCTAAATTAATATTTAATACTGAAAGTACAAAGGAATGTTGATTTCATCGTCGTAAGTGACGTTTACGGTACGTTCCAACACAAAGTTCCTTTATATTTATAATCTATATGGATTAATGAGCATTTAGATTTTAACGTTAATTAAAATAAATTAATAGCGTAAATACGTATCGACTGCATATTATAAAATTTGTGTTTTTAAATGTTTGAGAGACTAAGAGCATTTTACGCGTTACACAGAAGACTGTAATAACGACACATAAATAATATTTATACTTTTGTTATATGTATATTTATGGCACATTACAGTAATCGGGTGTAACATTTAAAATCTTTTTAATGATGCTTGCATAATAATAATAATAATAATAATAATAATAATAATAATAATAATAATAATAATAATAATAATAATAGTAATAAAGAAGAGTATAAAACTTCAAATTTCTAATTAAAATATTGTAATTTATACGCTTGGGTTGTTTGATGGTTCGATATTTTTTTTAGCACCTAGGCATACTTAAAAGAAAGATAACTTGTTCAATAACAGTAACTGCGTGGTGACATTTAAAAATTAAATTTATATCCGAAACCGATATTTAGAAGTAAAAATATCGCTGCTCGTAAAGGACGAGTACGCGAACTAATTAAAATCCTATCAGTAAAATCATTGCAATGTTGAAAAATAATAAAAAGAAAAAGGAAACTCACCTGAATGAGGTAATTGTAAAGCGACCCCAAAGGATGATAATGCGTGACCAGCCAAAGCTGCGTACAACTTGCACGGCTTGTCATATCACTGCCGACGTATCCGAGAATATTGTCGTGTCGCGACGGTAAAAGTTGCGAGTAAACTTCCGTTTCTCGGGCCCACATAACCTCGTCACGTGAAAAATATATTTTTACGGCAACGTTCTCACCGTGCCAAATGCCTCGCCAGACCTCGCGACCAAAACTACCACCAACACCCCCGCCGCCATTACTCAAGCACTCGGCAAGAGCTACTTGTTTCGCCAAAGTGCGCTGGACTAGCAATGGCAGTCCGGAACCAGAACCACTTGTTAAGCTCTGCCCCTCCAAGTACTCCTATAACGAAGAGAGAAAATATATATAAATTATATGTTTTATAGCTCGAACAAGCTTACCACATTTTATTGGCTTACGTAAATTGCAAATTTTGAAAAAAATCATAGCGACTGCTGACAGAGTCGAAGGAGTTGAGACTTATTTCTACATAAATTCAAATAAATACAATTATTACTCGAATATCTTCTACATCTTTATATTTTATTATTGATATAAAGCTAAAAAAAAAAAAAAAAAAAAAAAAAAAAAAAAAACTATAATCAGAGTGAATTATATGAATAAATTAATGTATAAATGTATAAATCTTCTTAAAATATGTGATTCGTATATTATTATTAGCATTGTTGAAATAATTTTCACCATTATATAAGTTTATTTGTAATTCCATATAGATGTTCAAATACTTATCAATAAATATAACAATTTAATGGCATATTCTATGGTCGTACCAAGTATTTGAAATATTGATCATCTTAGTCTGATCAATTAGTCTTATTCCTGAATGCTTTTCATTTTGTTATTCTTAAATGATTAATATAATTATACAAGTACAATTATTATTAATACATAAAATTTGTCATTATATTATATTATGATATTATAATAATTAATAGAAGCTTTATTTTCTTTAAATTTTAACATTTTTGCCAATATAACGACTAACCCTAACTGCTAAATCTGTAAAAGTTATTGTAAAGTAAATTTATATTGATGTATCAAAGTATTTAATTACCAGACATTACGATCCTTTACAATTTCATTTTAACCATCCATTTCGACCATTAAAATGTTGGAAAAACTAACAATGATTTATATCGGCTATTGAAATTGGAATATATTTTTAATTAATAAGCCTATTTTTATATTAATATTAAATAAATATGATTGATCGAGTCTCATATCCTGAATATATTGTTTTAGTTTAAAAAAGTTCGTATGTAAAAGAATTCGAAAATTCGAAAATTCGAAAATTCAAAAATTCAAAAATTCAAAAATTCAAAAATTCAAAAATTCAAAAATTCAAAAATTCAATATGATAATTCCAGGTAAGGAAGAAACGACATTGGAAATGCCCATCATTTGTCGAATTAAAATCCTCTTTAATTTTACAATAAATAGTAATAAATTTATAATTTATAATCACCTTGAGTGTACTGTCACCAGCTGCTGTTGCCCGAAACTCGTGGGAATAACTCATGGTACCACCTGCAGTCGAAATCGGCGAAGAAAACGCCAGCATCGACGGCTCCATCCGCGATTCAATTAACTTTTTGCTTCGACGAGGAGTCGTAGAACGGTTTCGTCGAGTTCTTCGATTACGATAATATAGGAATATCGCGCAAAAAATAAAGCTTAGTCCTAATATTGGACCTAATATAGCTAAAGTGACTTTTATCACATTTTTCATTTCAGTCCCATCTATAATATTAAAGAAAATGGAAAAACAATTGAACAGTCGAGGAAAATGTAATAATAATTTCTATTATATCTTTGCCATCTACTTAGCTTTCAACCAAAATTTAATAAATGCGCATACGCACACGCACGCACACGCACACACCATATACACATTAAATTATTTATTGATTCTCCACTTCATGTTTCATATTTGACAAAAAATTAAAATATTTTAAGCTTTCAACCTACTTTATAAATAAACATAAATGATTAACAAACACATATTAGTAAGCATATGAAAGTAATAGAAGGTAATTTAATTAACTGAAAAATACTTGTTAACTAATAATGGACAATGACGTATTAATAAAATTTTGCAACAGTTAATTTTCCTTCGGGACTTTAATGCTTTAAAGTGAATTGCAAAAGGTGAATTACCAGTCGTGCGATCTTGTAAAATTGGAAAAGGCCCGCCATTGCACAATTCCTCTTGGCAACATTCCGTATGAAATTGACCACCTCCGTTACGATTGTTGCCGTTAGTCACGTTGCCCGATTGTAAATGTTTGTTACATATAAGCGGCACTTGATCACGATTCACGATACACCCTCGACGACCTCTTTTTTTCCCATCTGTTTCGCGAACCGTGGACTTCCAGCACTATAATTGAAAATGGTATTTTTAATACAATTTCAATTTAAACTTAAACGATTCTATGTAATAACTTTCATGCTCTGCCCTTCTGTTTAAGTATTAAAGATTCTGATTGAAATAAAAACAAAATCAAAATTTAGTACATATCATTGTAGAAAAAGAAGAAATACATGGAGAAAGAAGTAGAGGATCTCTACGAGCGTAAAAAGAAAACTAAAAATATATATATATATATATATATATATATATATATATACTACAGGCTTTACAAGTTGAAAACAAATTGATTAGTCAAAAGACTGATATAAGAAATTTAATAAATTAAACGCGTCTATAGAAACGCATTTAAACTTGTGCAAAACAAAATTTCACTAAATTATATTTTGGAATACGTTTGGTTCATAGTTGATATGATATTTGTACTTTTTTCTTCCTACAAACGCATAAAAATTCATAGAAGCCGTTTATTAAGAAAGTTGCCCTAATTATCGATTATTATATATTTCTAAATACTATTTTAAAATATTGAAATATTTAAATATTTAAATATTTAATAATATCTATTTAAAAATATTAATAAATCAAAATATTTTACTTTCTTAAATATGTACGATATTGAAAATGGCAAATATGCAATACAAAACTCATTAAACTTTACCCACCAATAACGCATCTTCGCAAATGTACGGAGGCTGATCAACGGAAGGATCGCAATCATCTCCGTCGCAAACGTGACACTTTAATTTTCGTTGCATTATTTTTGTCATTTAAATGTATTTGCAAATACATAAAGTACATGTACTCTACTTGATATTTGATTTCCTTCCTGAAAGAACAAACATAGATTTCATTATTATTCGCTATATCGAAACAAAATAATTTTACATAATGTTTTTACGTGGGCATTTAATTATTTATCCAAAATAATTCGATAATAATTACTCTACATAATTAAAAGTACGCAATTAATTCAATTATTTATTGATAAAATTAATAGAATATTGTTATATTGAATTTCCATTCGATCGAACATATATTATAGAACGTTTCTTTCAATTTATTAAATTTTTGAACGAATTAAAACGTCACGGATTTACTTAATATACTACTAGTAGATAATGAATATATAATGATAATTATTCGTTGGAAAAATAAAATATTTAAAGCTATTGTTATCCATTTATAAAATGGTGCCCTCTTGCTATTGACCAAAATGATTGGAAAAAAATCTACGAACCTTTGGAAAAAAATAAGCTTAACGGATAACGTATTTGCTGTGAACGTATTCGTTGAAAGTATTTTACGTCTTACTTGTATTCATACTATTTTTAGTTCCACATACATATTTCTTCTTATAAAATAACAATAGGATTTCATGAAATAAACATATACTCAAATACGAAATACTTTTTGCGACGTATTTGATATTACTATATTATATATACGAAAACTTTATTTACATCATTGCATAAATAAGAGTAAGACTACGCGCGCGCGCGCGCGCACGTACGAACACGGGCGCACGTAAATGTGTGCACATATATTTCAAATGCATGTACCTTCGCACCTCTACTATCTCAATACCAATTTATATATGCATATATATGAATAATCTATAGTTATATCTAACTTTTTGTAAATATATGTCTATTGCTTTAACTATTATGATTAGGTGAAATTTTATTTTATTCTTAAATGATAAATATTATAGCATTGAAATAGACAATAAAAATATATAGAGTGTCATTTATAAATATTGATTTTTTTTTTTTTTTTTTATAGCGTTTAAAATTTAAAACAATTGTATATAGAAGTAATCCACAAATATATGTTGAGGAGGAGGGAGGGGCAAACTTGTATATGAAAACACAGATGCGATCGATAATAAAAAATATCTTTGATTGGATTTCTATTCATATAGCAAATTTAAAAATAACATTCTGCTAGAATGTTAATTCAGATAATGATGCTCCTAATACTAAATAAGTATAAAACATTAGATTATAATGAAAATAATATGGAATTGTATGTAGTATCTATAGACTGTTTTATATATATATATATATATATATCAAAGTTTTTTTCTGTCTTGCATTTAATTAACTGCAGTTAGCAACAAACGCATTCTCTTTATTTTTTCTCCCATTCATTTAAAAACGCTGGCCTTAGCACTCGCCATACCGACATAATTTCTTTATATTCACGGCACGGATGCTTTCGAATGGAGATCCATGAATCTTTAGTTACAGAATAGATTAGCAATAAAAATTTATTAATTACTTCCTGGCATCAAAATTACATTATATTAAATATATACCGGTAGTAGTGCATTATTATCATCAGTATTTGTAAGTCTGCCGATACAAGACGACTTACCGACTGCAATTTCTCTTAAGGAGAACTCTCGGAGAGTAAATCTTTTGTTACTGTCTTTACCATTACGACTTTAGGCGGTACGGTACAAAAGATTTTCAATGTCAAGCAGAGAGGTTGGAAGAGGATATAATCATGTCTATTAAAACGGAACTTACAATTTATCTAAATTTTCGTCAAAGAGGCGAGTATTTAACAACGATATTTATCGATATAAATCAACAATAAATACTTATCAATAATAAAGTTGATATTGATTTTACTCTCATTAAACGTACAATTCGACACTATTAAAACGTACAAACACTATTAACTGGAAAACATAAATATTTAATTTTTATAACATATCTTCATATTATTTCTTATTTCAGGGATATGAAGGCAAATTGAAAACCGATATTGCTTCTTCAAAAGCTGAATTAATAATATTCAAAACTTCTAGTCTCCATCTTCTATATATTTCATGGTTGAACAATGGGCGCCCTCTCTTAGGAGAACTAAGAAACGATTCTGAATGTGGACATAACCAAAAAAAATTACGCTAATTTCAGATGAAATATAATCGAATTATCTAAAGTAATAGAAAAAAACTTCAAATAATAATATCCTGAATGACATTTTTGACGAAGAAAATTAATTAACAATTATTGTTACCATTTTTTAAAAAATGTATTTTTAACTTGTATTTAGGCGATAATTAAAAAATATTAGTTTTACCACCTCAATTATTTTTAAGGATAATTATGACATTGAAATTTACTAAAAAGAACCGATAACCATATATATATTTATTTATATATATATATATATATATATATAACGATAAAGATGTACATAAATATGTGTAGAAACAAATACATTCATAAATTTTATATAATAAACATTTGTATTTAAATATATAAAATCTGAAATTTAGCCTTAAATTTAGCTAAAATTTGTTTTTTTTTTTTTTTTTTATGTATTTTACGTTTTCTAAATATTATCTGATATTACGTTTAATATAATATATCTATTATTATAATGTAAATCTCATAACTTAATGTACCCGAAACATACGCTAAAATTAACCATCTGTATTATAATTTTATATTACAATAGAATAATAATATTGTAAATAACAATTATGATTATTGTATCGATTAAAAGCAAACTTAAATAAGACATTACTAAACTTAATTTCATTTAACGGCAAAAGTAAAAGTAAATATATATATATATATATATATAAGATCAATCGCAATGTCAGAAATATTAAATTATAAAACAATTTCAATTCATATATATTATATCATTAATAATGTCTATATTCATAACTGAATTAACAACGTAAACAATTAGTTTATAATACCATTTATATTTATAAGAAAATATTAATTGACTTATATACTTATTTGATCATTAATAATAACTAGATTTCAATATTTCTATTATAATTAATCTTTGCATTGAAAAGAACTATTAACAAAATATTGCTCAAACACTCAAACTAATCTCCTAAGGACAAAAAGATTTTAAATCTAAAATTAATAAAGACAATTTCATTCTTTTATATTTATCGATTGTATTGCATTCACAAAATGTTCACTATTTTAAAAGATTAATTGAAAATGTTAGATTATTTTGTTATAAATTTTTAAATAAATATTGAAGTAAGGTACGATATGAATTACAGTATTTCCCTATATTACATTTTTATCAAAATAAAGATATTTAGATTTCTATACATTCATTCCATTACACTGTTTATGAGACGAATATATATATATATATATATATATATATATAAATTAACAATATATATGCTAAGATGCAAAATTATGTATTCTTGCAATAAATATACTGAAACATGAGACGCCAGGAGTATAAAACTTGGAATACTTGTTTAATATAAGAATGTATATCGATGCATATTCGCATATAGCTTGTTACAAATAGTGAGCAACTTTTAAAAAATATAAAATACCCATTATAAATAAGAATTTGTTTTTTTTTGTTTTTTTTTTGTTTTTTTTTTGTTTTTTTTTTTATGTATTCCAACTTCAAGCTATTCAAGTATTTCAAATTGATAAAATATGCTGCTAGTGCACTAATGTAAATACAAAATAAGCTCATCGCATATAGCAAATTGAGCAGTTAAGCAATAATTATTACTTACAAAACATACATATAATTTATAATTAATATCATATTGATTAATTAGCTTAAATTCCAGATGTAAGCTCTGATTGACGAATGTAAGTTCTCATTCGCGAACCAGCTTAAGCATTAAAATAAATTTTAACCTCGTAAATTTCTTTCACTCGGTGGTTATCGTGAATTTTTATTAAACCAGACATTTGACGATTGTCCCAAATCGCCATTAATAACCGCGGCGGTAAATTCGAAAGAGCCTCGGGTCGCCGAAAGAAAACAACACAAAAAGGACAGAAGGTAACGCCGTGACCCGAAACTCTCCAGCCACCACCTCCTCCTCCGCCGGTACGTACACCGCCCTCCTCCGCCGCCCCCCTGCCCATCCGACCAATCGCATCCGAACCGCCATCCCTCGCTCGGACGCACTCGCCACTATTTCGGCCCTTGTCACCCCACGCGCCCAAAAATATTACCTTCACAAAGAAAACTCCTCTGCGGTCTCGTATCTTCATGAAAAACCGAGAGATCCCTCATAATGCAATGGTTGCGGTGACGGGGGAGCATCGTCGCCCGGTCCGTGATTCGATGAGCCTCTTGCTAATTCCAAGCCGGGACATTCCTCTCGCACAAGAACGTCGTCGCTCGTGATCGGAGAGCTGCGCTCGCTGCCAACAGTACGACCAACAACAACGCGTCCCCGACTTTCTCACCACCATTTTGCGCACACGCGCTCCTCGCCGGCGGAAAGCTTCGGTCTTCGGTCGCCCTCAAGCCTCTCGATAATCGACCCGCGGCCCGCGGCGGACACGTTGATCGCGCGATTCACCACCAAAAAATCTCGCTAGTCCCGGCTTTACCGATCGGCCATGTTTACAACAGCTGGGGGCCCCGGGATCCAACACCGATGGTCCATACTCCGTGCTCCAAGCCTCCTAGAGACTGCGTCCGAGGCTGATCGACGCGCCACCTCCGTTCGCGCGCAATTCGAGGCCGCCGATGAAACGCGCTGCGCCTGCCCCCGGCACTTTACCTTGCATTCTGCCGATCGACTGAATAATCCGCCGGATTTTCGAATAGCAGGGCCGTCGCGAGGCTCCTCGCTACCCTTCGCTGCAACCTTCTATTTATTGCTCGACTCGCTTGCCGAGCGCCTAACAACCGCTTCTCCCTCGTTCGAATCCACGACATGCTAATTCAAACTACTCGTTGGCCAAGTCGTACGCCAAGTCGTCTGCTTCAGGGTTACTATACTCACTCACTAACTTTGGCTGTCCCTCGTTCGAGACTGTACTCGGCCTCCCACAACACAACACAACACAACACAACACAACACCACCACCACCACCGCCACCACCACCACCCCCCCGGACGCTCGGTGAATTAAGCTCGCGATCCAATCTTTTAACTTCTTATTGTTAATTTTTTTTTTTCTTTTTTTTTTTTTTTGGAGTAGGTCGAATGAAGCGTAGGACTCGCGCGACCAAAATTTTCCTTCTCATAATTCTATTGCCGATACAAGCCCATATCGCGCCCCACTTTTTATCATTTTTCCCCTCAATTTCGCTCAATTAGTTCTTTCGCGTAGGAGCCGTACACTCGGCTTATTACTAATTTCTTTTTACTAATTTAATCGAATTGAATCGAATGTTTTTCATTCGTTCTTAAGGTCTCTCTCTCTCTCTCTCTCTCTCTGTGTGTGTGTGTGTGTGTGTGTGTGTGTGTGTGTGTGTGTGCGCGTCTCGTAAGGATAAAATCATAAAATGAAATTGCTACTCTGGACTATTGGAGCGGGATTGATTCTTGGTCATGTCCTCTTCATAATGTGGGATTGAAATAAATTAGGCGCAAGCACTTTACTCACTTATATATTTATTATTACAGGTTAGAGTACATCGTGTGTGTTTAACCATATTTCAACAGATGCAGCCTACTACAGGACACTTGGAGTATATCATCGTGCCGTGGGACATACTAAACGCAGGCCAAAAGTATATTATTCCTTTCGCTTCGTTTCTTCGGCTCCGGGACAATGACGCTGAGACAGTGCGCGTAATGCCGCAAGCAAGACGAATGAATGAAATGAGTTTATCGTCATGTCTCGCTTTAATTCCCTTTCAAACCGTGAAAATCTCCCTGTGCGGAAAAACACAAATATCGCCGTTCAATTTCCTCTTCTACTTCTTCTTTCTTTTATTTCTCATTTGCTCGTCCCTCGATTCTTTTGCAGTTTTGTTTCAAGGCCGTATTGCGATATTACAATATGCACATCGTCTTTCATTGTCACTTTAAGAATGAAACATTTCGCCCTAACTGTATGATATATCGCAAAAATATAAATTGAGACGCTGTCGTTTATTTATTTTTTTCTTTTCTTTCTTCTTCTTCTTCTTCTTCTTCTTGCTTTCTTGTCAGCGTGTATAACATAGTCGAATAGTAAAGGTGAAAGCAACATTGAGTGTGATCGAAAAAACGCCGAATACAGTTAATAATCGTATTGCCTTTTTTTCTTTTTTTTTCGTTTTTTTTTTCGTTTTTTTTTCGTTTTTTTTTTCGTTTTTTTTTTAATGACCAACGTAAGAATTTTAAACATCTCTTTTTAATCGACGAATGAAGAATAATGTACGTAAGCCATTAGCTTCTCTACATTTTACATTGTAGTATAGTATAGTATGTCCCGGATATTTATTTTTTCCATAGCAGTAACAAGCATTTTCATAATCTATTCCAAGGAATTAATTCAATCTGGATGTTCAATATCACCTAGCTTATACGTTTCCCACGTCAACACACTCTATGCTTGTTCAATTAATTAAAACGTCCCCCTCACAATAATAACAATAATAACAATAACAACAACAACAACAACAACAACAACAACAATAATAATAATAATAATAATAATAATAATAATAATAATAACACAAAACAACAACAACAACAACAACAACAACAAGAAAAAAAAGAATAATAACAATAATAATAATAATAATAATAATAATAATAATAATAATAACAACAGTGCGCACGTTATTCTAAGGTAAGGTAATGTCCCGCATACGGCATTGCAAGGCGTATTGGAGTGTATCGAGGTATTTGTCAACGACATTATTTTTCACAATACAAATTATGTGAACGTTTTATGATTCGTTCCGAGTCCCGAAAGAGTGACGATAAGAAAATTTTTGCTCGTTTATTTCTCATTTTGCGTTGGCAGAAACTTTTCATTAATTATCAACCTGTGCCTTTTTCTTCGCTCTCGTTCATTGTTTAAATTGCCAATAATGTACCGGGGCAAATTATTAACTAATATTCTCCTTATAATATTATAAATTGTAAAAAATGTTTTCATACTTTCTCAGTTGAAGGATTTTACGTGTATTTATCAACAAAAAATTTAAATCACTGACTCCTTAAGAATACTTTCCTCCAACTAAATATGCGAATGGAAAATATATTATCTTGTAAAAATGTCATTTACTTTCTTGGATAGACTGTGATGGAAAATTTATGCAACTTGATACACCATGGCAAATCTTTATAACGTTTTAATTTCGGGCGATTTATTAAATTATTTATGAATTAATACGGCAACTATTCACCTTACACATCATATAGAGAAAAAATTTGCTGAAAAATGAAAAATTGTTGTTAGCTCGCTTCGTCGCGTCATTATTTAATTATTTATAGAAATCGTTTGAAATGCCATTTATTTATCCTGTAAAAAGAAAAAAAGAAAAAAAGAAAAAAAAAGATTTAAAAATCAATAAGAACTCTTTTTAATGGAAAAACAATTATTTTGAAAACGAGAGCGTATTACTCTCAACTTTTTAATTTTAAGCAATTTTTTCCTCCTATCGATCGATAATCCTTACGTAATATCGTCTAATTATTGGGGTGCATGTGCTTATGTATAATGTGCAAATATCACTATCAAATCGGTTCTACGTCGATGAGATTCTCTCATACAATTTTATCTTTGTCATTTGTTATATATCTTGCCCTCTCGTTATGTTATACACAATATCCCACGCTCCCTTATTACACTACACGACCTTATTACACTTAAAACTCAAATTTATAACGACGAAAGTTCTTCACCATTGTTCATAAATTCGTTCGAATATGTTGAAATATATAACAACGATGATAGATAGAACTCGCATTTAATAGAGGCAATTGTAGATGTATACGTAGAGATAATAAATTTTAAAAGCCTCGTAAAATTGCCTCTCATAATCTTGTGAGGCGAAATTGTACAAGAGTACGTTTTTACATCTCCCATTCTCAATATTTATTTTGTCACGGTCATCCTTCATGTTATTTATTCATCCTTTTCTTCTCAACATTTGTCTATTCGATAAAAACGACGCGATAACAACAATAATGACGACGTATGCCTCGTACGTCTATTTCCTTTTTTTTCTTTGTCTCGACAAGTATTCGTTGTAATCTTAAACTGTCTCTTCATAACTGATATACAATATAACTTTTTGTTATATTATTAAGTTTCATTAAGTTATCTTATATTCATATAAATTTTTTTTTTCCTTTTCTTTTATGTCGTTTTTTTTTATTTGTTTGTTTGTTTGTTATACGTGTTTTTTTTTTTTTTTTTTTTTTTAACATTTGTCATAGGCACCTACCTGTTTACGATCTTGTGGCGTACGTATGTAATTTTCCAACTATTATAACCGGGAAACTGATTGAACATCTTCGCTCTTCATTTCATTCGATTAATAAACCAATTTATTACACGTTTAATAATTAACGGCATAATAATTGGACTTTTTGGGCCGTAGAGCGCGTTGATGTACGCAAAAAAGCAATTAATACTAATAATGTATATGATAATTCTAATAATGTGTGCAACTGACTTTATTGACATTACGTATTAATGAAGACATTATATTCAAAATATCGTTTGCATAACGTACATATAATAAAGATTTATTGTTTCTTTAAAGTATCATAATTAATAGGGCAATGAAGTAAACCATCTTGTCGTTCATCGAAAATAAACATGAGGTAAAATGAGAGAAAACTCGAAAAATTTTATAGCCCTCTGCGCGCAAAAATAATTAAAAACTTGCATTATAGAGAATAGCCAAGCTGCTGTTGCGCCTCTTTAGCGAAATTCCAGAGTAATCTTAAGCTAGATGAGCTTAAAATAAGTGCATTCGTATTCCATTAGAGAAACGCATTCTTTCGCGAAAGGCTCTAGTTGCACGTAAAGAGAAATCATGCATACTTGAGATAAGGATGAACGTAGCGCCAGTTTGATCGGCTAGTGCAGCTAAAATATTAACGATTTAATGATATTCCATAAAATGATTGTTTTTACCGTTTATGCTGTAAATTTCCTTTTCAACTAAACTAAAATTGTCTATTTTTGCTTTATATATACGCGCCCATAGACATACGAATTTAAAAATTTTATGTTAATTTTGCGGGATTAACTGCACGTATTTTCAACCGCGTAGATGAATTTCGTTTTTTTTTTCTTTTTTTTTCTTTTATTTTT